AGGTAGTAGTAGAATAGCAGTAAAGTAGTAGTAAAACAGTAGTAAGGTAGTAGTAAAACAGTAGTAAGGTAGTAGTAAAATAGTAGTAAACTGGTAGTAAAGTAGTAGTAAAGCAGTAGTAAAGCAGTAGTAAAGTAGTAGTAAATGTCTCTATTTTCATCAGAAAAATGCTGGGTATGGTTGAGTGTACTTTCCTGGGTGGGATATTTCCTCAATAATGGCTCTTGCTTGCTTGGATGAAGGATAGAGAGGGGTGTTTGTGTGCGTAGAAACTACCCTGCTGTACAAAGGTAAAATTTGCATTCATGAAATTTGCTTCTGGTCCTGCCCACCACTGTTATGTGGCCCTCAGAAAGTCGCCCAGAAGCGAATGTGGCCCTCGGGATGAAAAATGTTCTCCAGCACTGTCCACAAGCAAGAAAATATTAGCCCTTACTCACTCATTTGAAAAGGGAGCCAAGGAGCTTGCAAGAAAATGTCTTTTCTGTCCGATTATTTCGACATTTAAAAGGTCAGCATCTTGACCTTTTTCTATTCTATGCATTAAAAAAAAGAAAAAAGAAAAAAAGCCTGACAAAGAAACAACAGAATTCAGTCTTCACTTCATATGGAAATAGGGGCATCTCAGGTCAGGTATATAGTTGTGCAATCTTCTTCTCTAAACAGCTTCCCCTAGCATCTGTTTCTAATCTGAAAAGTATTCTTGAAAAAAGAAATCTGTATTTTGGAAAGAAATTGAATACTATCTTGCAGATCCTGTGCGGTTCGGTCTGACAGATTATCTGTCTGGTTTACGCACAAGAGGGCGCCTGGGTTCTGCATGCAGAACAGATTAATTTACTTTCAAAGCTCTAGTCTGGTTGATATCTTACAGGTTGCAACAGAGTCCAACGAGTCTTATGTGGCACAGGAGAGGGGAGAGGGGAGGAGGTTTGGGTCATGGGCAGCACATGCTGTATATATGGCAGATACCTACAAAATCCCAAGTAACAGCTGCCAGCAGAAATATCCACTTTTTAATATGTGTAAAACAAGCAAATGGGGGGAAAAAACCCACTAAAACTCTTTATTTGATGGGAGTTTTACCCTTGTCCCACTCCTTCTCCCAGGGGAAAAATCTGGGTCGATGTTTGCTCTGATTTATCACTAAAGAGCAAGTTTTCTGGGGGGAATGCAGAGGGGCAAAGGCAAAACTGCTCAGACCTATAGGACATGCGTTGGACCCACACTATACCTGAAGGAGTGTCTCCACCCCCATCGTTCTGCCCAGACGCTGAGGTCCAGTGCTGAGGGCCTTCTGGCGGTTCCCTCACTGCGAGAAGCAAAGCTACAGGGAACCAGGCAGAGGGCCTTTTCGGTAGTGGCGCCCACCCTGTGGAACGCCCTCCCATCAGATGTCAAAGAGATAAACAACTACCTGACATTTAGAAGACATCTGATGGCAGCCCTGTTCAGGGAAGTTTTTAATGTGTGACATTTTTATGTATGTTTAATCTTTGCTGGAAGCCGCCCAGAGTGGCTGGGGAAACCCAGCCAGATGAGCG